CCTCCTCCTTTCTCTCCTCCTTTTTCTCATCTTTGTTCTTCTCTTTTTTCTCCTCTTTTTTCTCCTCCTTTTTCTCCTCCTTTTTCTCCTCCTTTTTCTCCTCCTCCTCCTCCTCCTCCTCCTGCGCTCCTCCTTTCCCTCCTTCTCCTCCCGCCCTTCCCTCCCTCAGAAAAACCGGGGGCGCCCGAGTGGGCCCCCGCCCCCGTCGCCAACGAGGGCCCCAGGGCGTCGGGGTCGTGGTCCCGGGCTCCTAACACCGAAGAACTACTCCCGGGACCTTCTAATTAATTAAGAATTGCAACGCTCACGAGGGCGGTCCGGCAGGGGCAAGGGCGGAAGAGGGAGAAGGGAACGAGGGGCGGATGACGGGATCGGTCGGGGCAGCCACGCAGGCAGTCGTCGCGGCAGACGCGGGGGCCTGCCAGGCGGGGGCGGCCGTGTGGAGGCCGAGCTGGGTGGGCCAGTGGGCCGAGGAGGCGGCGACCGCCGGCGTCGTCGTCGTCGTCGTCGTCGTCGAAGAGGTCGTCTGCGGGGGGGGGGCGGAGGCGGGGGCGGAGCGGCGTTCTCCAGCCCCGACACCGCCGCGGACCCTTCGGACTCGGCGGGGCCCTGCGCGGCAGCGCTCGCCTCTCCAGCCACGGGCGCCGTCGTCGGCGTCGTGGTCACTGCGCTGCTGCCAGCGTCGGAGCTGCCGCTAGCAGTGCTGCAACGGCGGCGCCGAGGCGGCGCTGCAATTACCCGGCTGGGGGGCTCACTGCCTGATGGCGCTGGGCACCGTTTCCGCGCTGCCGCGCTGGAGCTGCCGCGACAGCAGTCTCCAGAGGCCGCCGAGCGCGTCGACCCGGCCTGTCTCGTCGACGGAGTGGCCGAATCGCCCGGATGAACTCCACAGCCTCGTCAGACGGGCGCCTGGGCGTCTCGGAGACCAGCGGGGCGAGATCACCCTCGCTGAGAGGCGCCGGTTCCGCTTCGTCCGCGCCGCGGCCGCCGCGGCGACGCCGTCGTTGTCGGAGCACGCTTGCCTGCGAGGGGCGTGGGTATAAAATTCGCAGGTAACGCTCCAATCAAAGCAGACGTCGCGACCCGTGGCGGGGCCACGAGTGGCGACGTCCAACTTGGCAGCCTCTAGCACGCCAGTGCGCTGGTTCACGCGGTCCCAGGCTGGGACGAGCTGTTCAATGGGAGCCGCGAAGACGGCGAGGCTGGCCGTGCTTCTTCGCGCACCTGTCCCGCATGGCGTCGCCCTGAGCGGTGCGAGACTGCCCCATCGCAGCGCCTCGCGCGCCACCCCCCTCCTCCTCCTCCTCCTCCTCCTCCTCCTCCTCCTCTTCCTCCTCTTCTCCTCAGCTTCCTCCTGCCCTGCTCTTGCTCATCCTCCTCCGCCCCCTCCCTCTCTGCATCCTCCTCCTTCTCCTCTTCCTCCTCCTCCTCGTCCTGCTCCTCCTCTTCCTCCTCCTGCTCCTCCTTCGTCTCCTCCTCCTCCTCCTCCTCCTCCTCCTTCCTCCTCCTCCTCCTCATCATCCTTTCCTCCTTCCCTCCTCCTCTCTCCTCCTCCTCCTCCTCTTCCTCCTCCTGCTCCTCCTCCTTCTCCTCCTCCTCATCCTTCCTCCTCCCCCTCCTCTCCTGCTCCTGCTCCTGCTCCTGCTCCTGTTCCTCCTGCCATTCCTCCTCTTCCTCCTCCTCCTCCTCCTCCTCCTCCTGCTCCTCCTCCTCGCCATCCTCCTGCTGCTCCTGCTCCTGCGTCTGCTCCTCCTCCGCCTCCTCCCCCCCCGCGGCCGCTCTGCACCGCATTTCCGCTCCCTCCATGGGCTTGATCTGTTGCTCAGCGCCCCTGAGCCGCTCAGCGGGACCGCGCGCTCGCTGGATCTGCGGGCAAAAACATGTGCTTGTGCTCCCCCAGTGAGCGACCAAAGACGTACAGGGCAGTTGTTAATACATAGGATGGTTTAGACTATAGCATTTTAAATGCATGACTAATGTATGAATAAGTTCATGCATGAGCTCATCGTTGTTCATTTAATACTAGATCCCTGCATGTTTGATACATGATCCGCACGCGGAGCATGTATTAAAAACGGCACTGTACGTACTTGTACGCCATCCGCGGTCCCGCGTGCGCGAATGGCCGCGTTCAAACGCAGGCCAGCGGAAGCTGACCAAGTACTTACGTGTACATGTGTCGCTAGCCCCTGGCCCAGGTCGTGCGTCGCCGAAGTGCCGCAGCGATGTTCTGCGTGGTGTTCAAAGGGGGCCCATAGGAAGCCACAAGAGGCTCCGTGATGGCCCTGCGAAGGGCCCCGAGCTTCTATCAATGTGTTGCATGTTTGGGCATTCCCCACTTCATGGCTCCAGATTGTTCCGAGAAGAGCTGCAGAACCAGAAGACCCCCAGAAGCCGCACGAGGCCCGCAAGGTGGCTCCAAGATGGCCCCCTAGGCCCTCCAGCTGGCCTAAGACGGCTCTAAGATGGTCCAAGACCGCCTCAAAACAGCGCCCATGCCCCACCAAACGGTCGCGCGACGCTGAAAAACCGAAGACGGCCGCCAAGACACCCCAAGAAGGCATCCATGGCCCCAAGAGCCTCAAGAAAGCTCTGGGAGAACACAAGACGGTCCCGATCCGGCCCAAAGGAGGCTTCGGGACAGGGGATAGGCCGAGGTTCTCGGCCACAGGCGCGTCGAGGCCAAGCACCCGAACGTTCATAAAATTAGTGGGAGATGTGCGTGCTCGTTTCTGCCTGAGGGCCTGGCGCCCATGGGCTCCAACATAGTCGGGAACACATTCCCGCGCAACGCGCTTCGTGGACCCTCCCTGCCCCCGCCGCACCCCCCCCCTCTCCGCCGCAGCGCGGAGGCGAATGTGTGCGGCAACAAGGACTGGATAGTTCACAACACGATCGAGGGTGCAGACACGTTGGCTTCGAACCATTTCGGTTGAGGGAGCGGAGGGGGGGGCAGCAGCAAGATCAAGAGCCTGTGAGAGGAAGACTGTTGAATGCCTGGGGGTACGAGAACGAGGAGCAGAACCCTCCCGGGTGGCTCGAAAGAGACTGCGTGGTCCCGTGCGAGGGCGGCGCCTTTTCTCTCGCAGAGCAGGCAATGCGCCGCGCAATTCTGCTGGCGGGTCCGCCTCCGACGCGCACTCCTTGTTTGCCGGGATTAGAAAATGACACCCAAGCACGGAGACGGCCGCAGCTGCCAAGGTCTGCACCCCTGCATCGACTTGTGCCAGGCAGGGAGCCCTCGCGCTGACGGAAGCAGCTGTAAGTTGGTGCGCTCTGGGGGGGCTGCCGAGGGTGTGCCTGGACAAAGGCGCCCCCCAGCTTGAAGGGGCCCTGGGACACACAAATGAATAGACACAAACAGCAAGATTCC